TCTCTTGGTCAAGGTAGTTCTGTGTGTCAAGTTTGGTTCAATTCCATCATTGGTGGAGTTCAGAATGCTCTTTGATTGTAGGTGAACTATAAATCCCAGCAACTACAACACCCAAATGACAAAATCAACAACCCCCCCCCCCCCCCCCCCCCCCCCCCCCCCCAACCCCACCAGTTTTCAAATTTGGGCCTATTGGGTATTTGTGCCAAATTTGGTCCTGTGAATGAAAATACATCCTGTGTATCAGATATTTACATTACAATTCATAACAGTAGCAAAATGACAGTTATGAAGTAGCAATGAAAATAATGTTATGGTTGGGGGTCACCACAACATGAGGAACTGTATTAAGGGGTCACGGCATTAGAAAGCTTGAAAACCACTGTCTTACAGAAGGAATTTTGTCTTTCTTTCTTTCTGAAAAATAATGTACCCCTTCCCAGTTCACTGATCTTGTATGCAATAGTGCAGTGATCTAGTATTGCAAATGTATACTATCTAGACCCATGATGGCGAACCTATGACACGTGTGTCAGCATTGACACGCGTAGCCATTTTCGATGACACACACCCGCATGCGGCCGCATACAGAGAAGATGGGGCCGCATCCCAAGAAGGACATTTCATCCTCAGCTCTTACACCAGCATTTTTCTATAATGCCAAGATATATGGCATTATAGAAAAAGCAGGTAACTTAAATAATTAGTTTTTGGTTTATTAAATACAGTTATATATTACAATAATATATTTTTGTTATTAGACTATAAATATCATGAAATTATGGGTTTTTCTCGAAGTGACACCGCATTCGAGTTATGCTCGGTTTTTTGGCAAGTATTGACACACCAAACTCAAAAGGTTGCCCATCATTGATCTAGACAGAGAATGTTGAAGCAGGTAATTGTGCTTCTCATGTGTTTTCCTATTAATTTTGCAGTATAGCTGTCTGACATGAATCTACTAGTTTTGCTTGCATATCAAGTATGTAACGTGGCAGTGACAATAAAATATGACAGTATGGATTGCCTCAGTTCAGTACTTCAGTCAGTCAAGCCAGCCATGCATTATATAATACTCAATTCTGTTTCTCTTTCTACTTGGTCTTCTATTTCATTCTTCTCATAGAGCCAGTCACTGCACTGTAACTGTTGTGCACACTTCGCACTAACTGGATTGTTTTGGTGATCAGCCCGTTAAGATAGCTCTTTTTTTCAGAGATACACATTTATTTTTGTATTTTTGTAAGCTTTGAGATTAACAACAGTAAGAGGAGGCAGAACAGGGAAATAACTAAATATCAGTTGTGTGCATGCACATGTACATGATGAAAAGATGATATTCTGTCTTAGAGGAATCAATAATACAACAAAATACCATTAAATCCCTCAAAACCGAATTCTAAGTAATAACTTCTAAATATAAACTAGAAAGCCTACCTCAAATGATATGTGCTAGGTAGAATGTTTTATTCTAGCCTGGAACTGGCCCATCGTTCAGATTCACTGCCACTTGGAACTAAGTCAACAGAGCTTGCTAAAATGGCACAACTACTATATTAACTGAAGCCATCAAGTATTTCATTTATGTCTCCAGTGAGACTATAATTAACAGTGAATTTAATTAAAATCATGTCCATTTGTATACAATATGTATATAGTATACATAGTATAGCTTGCATTTATTGTCTATGAATCAAGGACCACTTTCTCATCTCAAGAAAAACTCATTTACGTATTTATGTGCAAACTAACACTTGAAAAGAGACAAATGGAATGGATGGCTTTTTAAAAGATTTAGATAAATTCACAGATAAATCCAACAATGGCTATCAACTGTAAAAACACACACACAAAGAAACGGGGTAACATATCAATTGATTACTGCCAGATGCAAAACTTGCGTTTATGTATTTCAGGCATTTTTGACTGACCACTCTTAAAGAACTAGAATGGGCAAATGGTGTGGCTGAACAAAGAAACAATATCCAAAGGAGCACTTTCAGCAGGGAAAGTGTGACCCACAAGCTGCATGCATTCACTGAGACTTTTTTTTATTACCCCACACCCCAAAAGCTGTGCTCCAGGAGAAGAAGTTTAGGAATATATTCCTCACTCCCACAAATGTCTATGAAAAACCTAAGTTTGCAACCAACAATGTGACCTCTCTAAGAGGCATGTTGGAGGGAATTGACCCTTACTTCAATACAGCTGCTTGCTTCCGACTTAAAAGTATGCCAAGGGGATACCAGTTAGTGAGTGGTACAACCAATCATGCAGAACAGGCATGATGCAACTGGAATGTGTGTTATTTTAAAAAGGAGAAAAGATAGAATGTGGCTATACCAGGCATGAGCAAATTCAACCCTTCTGGTGTTTTCAACTTCAACTCCCAGAATTCCTAACAGCCAGTAGGCTGTTGGGAATTGAAGGAGTTGAAGTCCAAAACACCTGGAGGGCCAAAGTTTGCCCATGCCTGGGCTATATCATGCAAGCCACTGTATTTTTAAAAATGCAATCCCATTCATGCTTATTCATAAGTAAATTACACTAACATTTATAGGACTTATTTCCAGGTGTATATAGGATGTCAAGTAAACTTGGACAAGATATCAGTAATAGCTATAGTACGTATTAAAGACACATGATATATCAGAATAGGAAATAAAAAAACTAATATTAATATTTTTATCACCATGAAAGGCTTCTAAGAGCAGAATACAAAGAGATAGGAAAGCATAATTGTTTGATACTTAATTATAAGTACTACACTTAACCAAAATGCACCAATAACTTGCACTATACTTCAGTTTTACATATGTGTTGTATGCTTGAGGCACCCTAAAAGATGAAATCCATTTAAAATAGCACTCAATGCAACTAAGTACAATGATTCTGGATTTTCTGCCTAGCATCATCACCTGACAAGACTGGGAGGGGCAGTCACAAGATCCATTAGATATTGTTGAACTAGAACTCCAAGCAGTTCTATGCAGTACAGACGATAGTTACAGTCTAACAACATCTGGATGGCTACATGATTCCTATCTTTGTTCTGTAAATTTCAGTAAGAGCTTAGTAGTCAGTAGTTGTTTGAAGACCAATTCATATGTTTGACCTTTGTTTTAATGCAGTTAGCAAAAATAGACTGAAAGATTATGCTTACACGTTTGGCTAAATACTTTAAAGTCACATCACTTCTGACATCAAAGTGCTACAGATGTCAATCATGGCTTTCCTGTGTCTAATACTTTGTTTAAAAACAGTGTACTGATTGATAATTAACGGGTTCAATTCAGCACAGTCATCATTTTGTTATTTTCAACCCATGTCTCATTGGATTAGCATCCTATTCAGGATACAACAGATTGTATGTATAAATGTCCACCTTGGATTTAGCACCGATTTAGAGTAAATACAAATTTACAAATACAACAGATAAAATGTCTGTCTAGAAGTCTGTGGAGCAAAGCAGAAACCAATGGCATATAGAAATTCCAGGTTCATTTACTAACATTTCCAGTTAAAAGTTTAATGGGTAACAGCAACTGAAAGACTTAGCTGAGACCATGGCAGGATACTGAAATGCAGGGTAGAAAGACTGTGGATTGGGTTAGCTATTGTTCTATCTCAGGACCCCTCTAGTCTGATCCCAAGCTTTGTAATTCATTGGGAATTGCAGCTATGCTTATCTGAAGCATCCATTTCTATACAAAATACTTTGTGACTTGGTTGTGTTTTGTTGTTTTTTTTAATTATTTCTTCTGAAATTCTGGTACAAACTACAACTTTTAAAACCTTCTAACAAGTATGTGGGGTTTTATTTCAGTATCCTAGATGTTTCTAAATAGCTCAGGATAAATAAGCATATCTGTATCGATCATCTCAGTTCCCCCCCCCCCCCCGCCTCTCATTATATTTTTGGGCAGTCCCACTGATTTGAAGAATGTGTGTGACGCTCATCACAGAGGCTTCCTGTTCTCCTGCATTCCTTCATTGCATTACCTGATTGTATTTTTCTCCCCCTGCCCCTCTTTATTTTAGAGTTAAAGGGCTACACTATTATAGCTGTATATCATTTTAGAACTACACTTACACAAAACATAAATGAAAGAAAGGAAATAGAAGTAACATGCAAGACTGCAAGTATAAGAACGATGGGACAGACAAACAAGAGAGGTATTGAATTCATAGGCGAGGGAGGCAGAGGGAAGAGAGGAACCACAACACAGCTTAACTGCACCCCAATCAGGAGAAATTAATAGTGTGCAGATCAAGGTAGAACTGAATAGAGCCAAAAAGCCAGGGCATAAATGGATGCAGAATGGAAAAAACCCTCTGCATTACAGTGTATGAAATCCTGTAGCAGAGTACTCAGAAATTCACCAGAGCATTGGGCAGTCCAGAGGAGCCTTACTTTGATCTTTTTTAATCCTTGTACACTAGTTCTCCAAGAATGTTTTTCAACTTCTATTTTTCCCCTTCTAGTATGCACTATAGCTACAATCATACACACTCTTGCTCACAAATATATCTTACAGTGTGGTTTACCTGATAGATACTATATTACTCTGGAGCAGTCATTAAATAAGACTATTTCAAATAAAATGCTCCAAGCTTGTCATCTAAAAGGAGCATATTTAAGAAACATAGGAAGCATAAGCTAGCACCTGCCATTCCTCTTCACAGTAGATCGTAAATTGTGTATAACTGTATGTGGCAATGGATTACAAATTATATCTGCCATAAATTTGGGTATGAATTTGCATTCTGCTGTATTCAGCAGGGGAATTCCAGCATTTTGATGATGGTAGAATTTGATCCATTGTGTTCTATAGAATCAGTAAGGGCTTTTTATTGTGTAATCTAGGTTCCTACCTCTCCTATCCCTTTCCTTCCCTCTTATGGTGTTTTGTTGTTCCTTGTGTTATCCAAGACATAGCCTACTGGGCCTCTTCATTGGAGATTTATTACAGCTCATTTCTGTCTACCTTTCTTTAAAGCCAGCTGAACATACCCAATGCTCTTCCTCTATGGTAAGATCTAATAGAACCCCATCCCAGCTTCTGTGACACAGTCCTTGACCTCCTAATACACTCCTTATTCTCTTTCAACCCTTACCACTCAGGTTTCTGTTTCCAAGCCTAGCCTAGTTATCTCTGCATGACGCCACCATGTTGTCTATCCGTTTGTTGAGTCTGGTGTTCACATGAGCTGTTGATTATGCTGCACATGATCTGTATTTCTTGTGCCTCCTTGAGCTTTCCTTCAGTCAAGTTAACTGTTGTCCTACCTTCTAATGAATTATTACCAAGAGAGAACTGGAATCCTTTTTAGATTTCTTGTTTGTTAAGTAATGAGCTATAGAATAATTAGATCAGCTTGCAAAATGAATTAAAATTACCAAAAGGCCCATATTCATATGCAAATAGGTTCTAGAGACTGATCCGAACATTACTCTAGACTGGACAGCTCTCTTTAGGCAACCAGTTTGCCAAAACTGGCATTCTCAACAGCCCCCTCCTGCCTAAACTCCTATTTTGTTTCTGGTCACCAGTTCACCCAACTTACAATCCTGCATTTGCTATGCACCCTGCTTGGTGCATTCTATCAAATCTGCTACTAGGGGCGGTGGTGCAGCCAAGACTAAAATAGTTGCCAGCTCTGAGCCTATCCATAGGCTCATGTTTGTTCATACTACCATTGTAGAAGCCACAAATGCAGAAACTATGCCTGTGAGCTTGCCTGCCTTCTGGGGAACATGTATCTTCTACTTAATTATGACCAGATCAAACTTATTAATCACATCTGCATTTTAGGCTGTAATAACCCTGTGATTTTTTTTTTGATAAATTTGCCTGAAATTAACGGAAAGTGTTTACAGTTTCCAAAGGGAGAAGGAACTACAGATATTCAGTTAATGAGACATGAAAGACAGATTAGGTTCATGTCTTCCTTTTACATTTTCCTCCACCTTACTCTAGTTTTGACTTCTCCTGGGTTTTTTTTTTTTTGTGAATGGTGGTAATTCTCAAAACGCAGCCACATAGGGATTCTACCAGCCTTTTACATGTGGATATGATATGATACCACAATGATACCAGGATTGTTTTAATCCCGAAAAAATCTGGCTTCAATGACATTACTGTGATATGAATATCTGTTACTTAGTGGAAGAAATTTACTGACACTGAAGAAAACTGAATCCCAACAATAATTCCACACTGCCCATTGGACTTGTTTTTTAAATTTTTGCAACTCAAAATAAATTAAGTAAAATTAGCGGTCATAATTGCTTAATGCAATGGTGTATAACACTGGATGCATTATACCAGTCCCTTGGGATTGCGGTTTGTCTGCCCCTGAATACCAAGCATTTTCTTGGCCACTCTAGAACAGCAAAAGTGTGATTTCCAAAATCAACTATAGAACATATTGAAAAAGTCAAAACTAACCAACTTGTTCTACAAGCTTTCTGAAAATAAATGCACTCCACTGTAATGCAGCTCTAGATATGGAAGGGAGGCAAAACATGCATCATGAGTATGAATGAATGTGAGTATGATTTCTAAGAAGTATATGAATACAATAACAGAAAAATACGTGTTCTGTGATTTCACCTCACAAAATATGTACAAGTGCTAATTCTGAGCTCTTAACAGGAAATCAAAAGGTCTGTTCTCTCCTGGTATACACAGTGGTGAGTAGCTAAGATTGGTGTCTGTGTGCGTGCTGTGTGTCTGTTGGGCAATCTGCACTGTTTCCTGGTCAGGTACTTCTTCAATATTTAATTTCAAACTCTTTAGTTTTATTGCGTTGGCAAAGGAAAAAACAGAATAAGAAGGAAAGGTGCTATTTCCTCCTGTGGCATCTGGTAGTTCATCTGGTAATCCAGTGCCCCACCAGCATCTTGCTTGACAAGAAATATTCTCACACAAGCAAAAGCAAACTGGCTCAATCCTACTCGGTTAAAAAATGCTTGGCCTGGCAAAATGAATGGCCATCCTAATCACAGGCCATAGGGAATTTGATAGAAAAGTGAAATACTAAGGGATAAGGATGGAGCAGTGAATACAACAGAGGCCAGATTAGTTGTGGCGGGGATGGGGACTCTAGGGACGATTAAACAGTCGCACGTAGGCCAGAATAACTGTCCCTTCATGCTGTGGGAAATGCCCAGGGGTCATGGGAAATGTAACCAAGAGAGTTAGGATGAGTGAGCATGTAGTACAAAGTTATAAAAACACAAGAAGTGGTGAGGTTGTCAGATCCTGGATCTTTCTCCACTGGCTTTCTCCCTTTTTCTTTTCTTTTTTTTCTTCTTTCTTTCTTTCTTACTTTCTTTTGGTAGTACAAGCTTTATTGAAAGTGACACTCCTTTCAAGTACAAGCTTTGGAACTGCTGCTCTTCCTTAGATAGTGCTGATTAAATATATCACAAGTAAATTCTAATTAATACTTTATTGTTGCACATACAAACACACACACACACACAAAGTATTATAGGTCTTATCAATATAATTCATATATCTACTGCTTCTTGCTATTTTGCTATGCCATGAGCTGCCTTGGGTCCCATGCTAGAGAAAGTTGTAGGGAAAAATTTTAGAAGTAAAAATGCTATTCTTTATGGCATGTTTATTTTGTGGTGACCTTTGTCTTGCCACTTCAGCCAAAGTTTTCAGATAATAGTAAAGTAAAACATTTCTGTATACAGTTTCTGCTGGATCTTAGTAGCTATGTTTCATTTAGCTGAATGCTTAGCTCCAAACTCTCGAATCTTGAGGCAACATCAAAAATATCCTCAAGTCATGGGAATCTCACTGGGCAAAAACATTGTTTTTGTTTTCCCACAAAAACATCTTCAAATTTCAGCCAGCATGTTTCCCAAAAAATAGATGGTCTTTGAAAATACCTTATCCTTTTTCCTGTTCAAGTATTATGTTTGAGAGAAGAATAGGAAATAGTGGCATATGTACTCATTTAAATTAGTAAGAGAGCTGAACATAAATTGCTCAGCTGATATTTTTGGGCACACTCCTCATTATGGGTAGGTTATACATTCAGGTCTGACCATTTGTGCTTCACATAATTGCAGTCACATCAACAATCATCCTACTTAAGATAGTGTATATACAGGGTCCTCCTAGGCCAATCTATGCTTGCTATCAGAGGCTTTAAAAGTCTGCTATTCTGTCTTCCTTCTTCATAACTGTCCAAACAGCAGTAGGAAATGTGAGTGTAGTTTAGACATACAAGAATTTATTCATTAGACACTATGTAAAACATTGTCTGTGAAGTAGATTCCCAAGTCTAGTAATGCCAAAGTAAAACAGATTTCTTCATGCTTAACAGTCCGTTCATAGATCTCAGCCATAGGAATAGAAGAAACAGAGCCTTGTATTTCCAGCAAGATTCTCAACAAATATTTCTTAATAAACTTAGGGGAACCAAGATTTTGTATAATCAAGAACTCCTGAGAAATGAGGAAAGAAAAAACAGCTTTATCTTGAAGTCCTAGAAGACAATCAGAGGGTTATCTGAACATCAGAGGTTAGTAGATTAGTTGTCTGTAAGTCAGGGGAACAGTGCAGTGAGCTCTTCCTGTGAAATAGCATTTTCTGTGGCCCAGGGTCTGTGTTCCTCATCTGCTGTTGTAATTACTGCCCTCTGTGCCAATGGGTTCCAGAACGCAGAGGAAAACTCTCGCATCTCAATCACGTTTTTCCGACTCTTCCGTGTGATGCGTCTGGTGAAGCTCTTGAGCCGAGGGGAGGGCATCCGCACGCTACTGTGGACCTTCATCAAGTCCTTCCAGGTATTCCTTCATTCCTCTTTATTTGGATTTGCCTTGGGACATGGGTGAAATTTGTGTCACCTCCACTCCCTGTTTGGCATTACACATTTATATAGGGATCACCAGAAATCCCCCAATAGCTCTCAGCCTGGAGAGTTGGTTTCCATGCACAAGTATGTAAGGGGTAGGGTGAAAAAGTTGGCTTTGTGAGACAGATTTTCTGATTTCTAAGATTTGTAAACTCTCAATGCAAAGTGCTAATTTAATATAGGCCCTAATAAACATGCTTAGAAAGAAAAATAGTTATGGAGCATTTCATAGTAATAATGTTTTATATTAAAGATAATATCTTTTCCCTCCGTCAGGTCAGTTTCTTGACTTGAGGAAAGATGTATATATGGCCCTGGTAGAAGTTAGCTTTAGTCCACAAAGAGCCAATGTCCAAACTCTCATGTTTCTAGCATATCTTAAAGACAACGTAACTATGTTGCAAACACTAGCCCTAAATATATGAAGATGGTCAAATGACCATCTGGGATCACAACATGACTAAAGTAAACATGTCCTAATCAATGGCAAACTCACCAAAGGAGAAAAATGTATCTGCTCTTTTTAAAGAATGTCATTTTTTTAAAATCAAATTTATAATCCCAAAGTCATAACCTCATGATCCTTCTCTTCAACAAAAGATCTTTGATCCAAATCTAAGCTATTAAATCTATTCTTCAGCATGCCAAATCTAATTTTCTCCCCTTTCCATTTTGCCCCTGGTCTCTTACTGTCATTGGCAGTTCCATCCTTCATTTTTTAATGATGTGTGTGCATTTTTATGATATAATAATAATAATTTATTTCTTACCCATCTCTCCTCATTGCTAGAGGAGGGTTACATATGTGCATAAATACATACACACAGCCACAGCCACATATCTATCATAAAAAACATAATAGCTGTAAGTGAGGAGTCAGCTGTCAAGGAGAATGAAGACAGTTCAGGCAGTCATTGCATAAATTGTCATGATTTCTGTAGTCAGTGAGAATAAGAAAAGAGTAAACTTTATTGTCTAAATGGATTATAAAAAGGACAGAATTTCCCATTGGTACCAGAGTCCATAATATATTAAACTGCTCTGGACAACGGAATTATCCTTTGTAAAACTCTGCATATTAATGGCACTAAATAAGTTAACATAGCAACATGTGAAGTCAGGCACCCTCACCAACTCATCATTTATTGAGTTAATTAAGATACCTAGTTTTAATTCATAGTTACACTGAAAATGACAGATGACCTGGTTTCAGAATATTTTGTGTTCTTATTCCTTCACAGCATAAATTTTAAGATTATTTTATGTTCCTAACTTGAAAACTTTTAACCCTAATGTCTACTAACAAATGAAACATTAGGAAATAGAATGCCTCTTAGGTAGGCACACTTACTTTTTAAGAAAAGTAGATCATGCCAATTAAATTGCATTGTAACTGTTTTTGCACTCAGAAATGTTGAAATCAGAGATATATCAACAAGATATACCTGTTTACATTTGTACTGAAGATAGGGAGAAACTTGACAGTCTCTGAGGCTTAACTATATACAAAAATATAATTCCATATGATACTATCAACAGTAAGCAGCATTTCACATATTTTTGGAAAGAAATATTACTGACAGAAAAAAACCATACAAAGAAGACTTAATGATGAGATATGTGAGGTAGTATGGTTTTGTGTGATGGTAGAAGGGTAGATGTGACAAAATCAAAGATAGAGAAGTAGAGGCATCTAGTGGAAAAAATAATACATTACAACAAAACCTTGTTTTTTTCTCAGAGTGACTGCTTTAGTCAACACATTTTTAGAAAGGTGCTCAAGTGCATCCTTATATCCACTTTTTAATAAGTTGTCATGTCCAAAAATAAATTTATACACTTCTGAGGAGGTAAGATGCATGCAGTTCATCTCCTTGTGGAATATAGAAAAAGAGATGGATTTTACTGTTTCATCAGTTTATGATAAGACACACCACTTTTTTCTGTTGGTGGTACTGAAATTAGTGTGCATCTTACAATTGAGGAAATGTTGTATTTGTAGCATCTTCCTTTCTCCCTCCTACATTGGTCTTTAGAACAGTCCTTTGAAGTGTGATATCATAAAGAGAGTTAAGGACCCAAATATAACTCAAGATCTTCAAGCGTGAGTGGGGATTTGAATTTGAGTCTCTCTAATGTGACTCCAGTATTCTAAATACTATACAAGGAATGTGCAAGATCCCTTTTTGGGTGTCATAACACATGAATGAAAACTTAAATGTAAATGCATGTGTTTTATTGTACAACAATACAGACAGAAAAAGCTACTCTTGGCCTCCATCTCTTTCCCTTAGGTTCTTTCAGTAATACAGGGATTCATGGGAATATTCACATTTTCTACAAACCAAGCTGTATGATTGAGTGGTAGACTATGATCTGTTTTTTTTTTCTGTTTTTCTTCAGGCTCTCCCTTATGTGGCTCTTTTAATAGTGATGCTGTTTTTTATCTATGCTGTTATTGGGATGCAGGTAGGTGTCTTCCCAAGATGAGTGTTTTGCCATCCAAACGTATGTATAAGCAAACAAGTAGGACTGGCAGGAAAAATATCTTTTTTTCCTTGAGGGTTATGACAAGCAACACAAAAATAAGTGAAAGTAAAGAGAAATGTCAAAAATGCCGTACTGATATAGTTGTGTCAGTTGAACTGTAGCATTCATATTAGCTGTGTCGATTCATATCATTTGGTAAGAGAACATAAAATACAGTACTGTCTTTATTACCTTACATAACAAATCAGTATTTCCCAATTTTTGATACTGTGTACCCAGGCCATTCAGGACAATTTTATACCTCCCTGCTACTTGTAGATACTAATTCAGCTACAACCTACAATGTTACAAAGTTATGTGCAGCAGCATACAAAATCCATCAGGGGATTTTGGTCCCAAAGTTAACTGTATATCCAATAATCATCTTCCTTGATTCTAAAATTTGCTGATAGACCTGTTCATTGTATGTTTTTGCCCTCCTTCCCCTTCCGCTCCTTCACCCCCTATTGTGCTTCAGTATTTATATTTACATTTTAAATGTACTAAATGTACTAAGTTCGTATGAAAATTTGAGTTTTCGTTCCTGTGCTGGTCTATGACCAAAATAAATGATTTGATTGATTTGATAGCTGCAGCCACTTTTTATCTGAAAATCCATTGGCACACTTTGCTTATACCTGAAATTATTGGCTTTTAGAAGTTGGAAATGTAAGCATCAGAGCTTTGAAATAAAATAGCCTGTATTATTAAGGGCACCGTTGTGGTGGGAGATATATCTGTTCCTGGTTTCAACAGCACTGTTTTATTGCAATTCTATCTTCTTCTTTTTACCAGGTTTACTCTGGAAAAAATAGAATTAATGATGCAGTAAAAGAGTTGTAGTGCAAAATAGAGAAAGAGGTGGGCAAGAAGAAACAGGAGCCAGCATGACGTAATGGTCTGAGCACGGGAATAATAATAATAATAATAATAATAATAATAATAATAATAATAATAACAACTGGACTATGACTCTGGAGTCCAGAGTTTGAATCCCCACTCAGCCATGGAAACCCACTGTAGGTGCCCTTAGACAAAGCACATTTCCTCAGCCTTATAGGACAGGAAAGACAAGCGCTCTCTGTACATATCTCGTCAAGCTAAAAATGACTTGAAGGCATGACACAATAACAACCACAAAATGTATTTATTTATTTACTATATTTATACCTTACCTTCCTCACCCCAAAGGGAATTCAGAGCAGCTTACAATAAAAACCTATTCCCCTCAAATGTGCAAATAACACCAAGTAGCTAAGACTTAAGAAAAGAAAATCAGGATTCAAGATAACCTTATAGGCAAATACTACCAAAAAGAGTTTCAAAAGGGATAAATATAAGATACTATGCAGACTAATGTACAAATTTAGCAGCAGTATTAACTGACTTCACAGCAGTACATCTAAAAGTCTTTCCCAATGGCATTAAGACTGTTACATGTTTATACCATATGTTTAATAACCACATAACATAAAAAGTGATTCAGACTAGAATTGAAAAAGGAATTGGGGAAGTTTGAAGCAACTTTTTATCAGACAAAATACATTTTTTGTAATTATATAATTTTTGTAGAGTAAAACAGACATAACCTAAGAGTTACCCAGTTAAAAGATGATGGAGAAGAATTCATCTTAATTATCTCCTGTTATAAAAAGCATTATGTGACCAAGTAGAAAAAACCCAAATTCAACATGATAGATGAAGTTGTTCAAATAAAGTGTCAACAAATGTGATTACAGGAGAGATACTGTGTACTCTACATTGCAGTCATTTCAACATTCTGTGATTTAATATCAGTAAAATATAAATGTGGTATAATGTATTGAGTGTTTAATTGGACACGTGAGGAACCATAGTTCAAATCCCCACTCAGCCATGGAAATCTATACTGGGCACATCACAAACTCTCAGCCTCAAAGGACGTCAAGGGCAAATCCCCTCTGAACAAATTCTTCCAAGGAAATGCCTTGGGATCACCTTAGGATCATTGTAAATCAGAAATAACATGAAGGCACATGGCAACAACAAAACACAGGGAAACTTTTAAGCTTAACAATTCCCATAATTTTGTGTCTAAATTTTAAAAGACAAGTGAAAACTTATAATGTGGATATAATGTCAAATATTGTTTATCTCGGGAAACAAAACTATTGCCAATCACAAAGAATATTTGAACTGCCTTCATACAAATCTTCAGAATAACCAGGACTAGTATTATTAACTAGAAGAGTATGAGTCTGTTTAACTCCAGAGGGCTACAGATATAAAGATCCTTGAAGGACTTCCTTTGCAAATCAGTTTTTCTGCTCTGCTGCTTAATGTTGCAGAAAATTCATGTATTTCCTTCCCTTTAAAAAGCATGACCAATTTACACACTGAAGGATAATAGCAGCCAAGACAACCAGTAGGATATTCTGGACCCAGTTCATGTCCAAAGTTCAGTCAGATAATCTGTAGACCTTGCACAAAGTAAACAAAAAAAATTTGAAAGGGGAGTGCCAGATTATCGCTCATGAGACAAGTTTCTCTCACCCTATTGTGACACACCCAATAACCACCAATGCACAGGAAAACTTGTTTTTTCCCCTTCAAAGGCAATACACAAGATTTGCAGAAAAAATGAAAGATAGGTTGCTGTCCATAAAGAATACAGATGTTGCACAGACAATGAATACCCTTCAGCAGAAGAACACACAATAGCTTCCTCTTTGCTGAGCCTTAGATCCTTATCACACTACATTGTCATAGTGTGTAACTGCCAAGGCAACATCTTACAGAATTCTGGAGTTTAGTGCAACCCAAGAGCTCTCTGGCTGAGAATTCTGAATGCCCCTCTCTAAACTGCAAATCCCTGAATTGTATATAATGTTGCCCTGACAATTAAATGGAATAATAGCACTAAAAGAGTATTTTCACAGTCTTAGTATGTTCCTTAAATTCCCTACAGCACTGAAAATATTCTCTAATGCTTCCAAACACCAGCTAAGGGACATAAAGATATATGTTTGCCCCCTATGAGTTATTTCAGATTCAGAAGAGGCCTATTTTTTAACAACAGAAAGTGACCTGGAAGTCAATGGAGCTACCTTGCTTTATACAATATACAGAATTTCAGACTTAAGTGTAATACAATATCTATAAAATCTTGAGCATCTCTGCAGTTGACGTGACATGTTGGGGGTATTGATGCAGCATGTACATTTGCTCCCACCCTCATACATCAGTACAACCTTTCATTAAGTGTGTGTATGTGCCTGCAAATACTGAGGATAAATCCAGATTGCATCTTTTCCACAGAACTTGCTTTCCTCCTGCTTCTCATAAGATTAATTTTAATAACTTGTGAAGCAGAAAAAATCAGAATGTAGTCTTTATTCTTACATAAATTAAAAGTAGAGCTTAAGCAGTTATTACTTGTCACAATATAATTTAAAATGTAAGAGCGACCAAATAAGTAATTTACATGTTTGAAAATAACAACACTCTAGGGCTTGCCGAACAAGTTCCGGAATAGAAAAAAGGAAACTCATATGTGCTTTCAGAGTGCTAGTTTCATGTCTTTTGGCATAGAATTAATAGAACTAGTGCAGAATTATGCCTGTATGGATTCTCAAGTAAAATACAAACTCTCAAATGTGGACAATTCATTTACTCTTAACCATGCTCTTACATAGCTCCTGAAGACCTGTATGGACAATGTGGTCAAAAGAAGGGATTTCTTACAAGCTTGCCTAAACTCACACAATGATTTATGATGAAACATGTTACTTATGTTCTAGCATCCAGAATTCATAACAAAATTTCTGTAATTTCTTACTCTTGTTAGATATTTATTTATTTATTTATTTACAACATTTCTACCCCGCCTTTCTCTAGCCCAGAGGCAACTCAAGGCGGCTTTACAAGATAGTTCAGTTTTTAATTATTGCCATTAACGTAGAGGATGAAAACACAATTAACTGTATAGATGAAGCAAAACTGAATGTACTATTACATTTTTAGTGAGCAAGTAGGAAATGAGGCTAATCATGAAAAAATTTAGAACAGCTTTTAAAGTGATCGCTTCTTTCACAATATAATATATTGTATGAAGCATAATCTTACAAGCTTCTTTTTTACTATTAGGTGTTTGGTAAAATTGCCCTGGATGATACCACAGATATCAATCGGAACAACAATTTTCAAACTTTCCCTCAGGCAGTCCTGCTGCTTTTCAGGTTGGTTGCAAAGTATTCTTTCACCTTTATTTTTAGAAAGTTATTTACTATTTGTTTAATCAAAGATACATTATGCCTTCCTATGATATCCTACCTCTAATCAGATCTGGTACTTCCAAAATAAATGTACCTCAGATTGCTTGGCCTTAACTTCATAGAAGCCTTTGTATACAACTAGCACAAGTCTCTATGAAAACAATCTATTTCTTTCACAGTAGCCTTCTAGTTGAAGAAAAAGAGAGGAAGAAAACGAAGTTAAAGAGGGAGGCAGATAAAGAGAAAGATCCACCTAGAATTCAGCTGGCTTCAGTCATGTCCAAAACCAGCATGTGGTCCTCAGAAGATTACTCCTGGGAAAATGCTCCCCTTTCCTTATTCCTATACCTGAGCCAACTAAAGAATACATTTATTGTCAATATAGAAAACTGAGCCTTGTTGCAGGCTTACAAAGAACATGGCTTCTGTCAGGTGGTGAGACAGAAGTTAGTGGTTGAGGTTTTTTAGACCCATTCACTGTAATAATGAAGTTACCTTCTTCCCACTACCATCTTTTCAATAGATGTGCTACAGGGGAAGCTTGGCAAGAAATCATGTTGGCATGTCTCCCAGAGAAGAAATGTGACTTTGAATCTTTGGAACCCAACAACTCTTCTGAAGGCGAACATTCCTGTGGAAGCAGCTTTGCTGTTTTTTATTTCATCAGCTTTTATATGCTTTGTGCCTTCCTAGTGAGTATCTCATGGTAGTTTCTAAGTGCTGTATTTTATCTTAGTACTATAAGAAGCCACTACTGGTATTTGTCTTTATAGCTCAGTATTGGTAGTGCTGACAGGTAGAACATCCAGAACCATCTCTTTTAATATTATAACAGAGGAACTGCTCTAGGTCCTTGATTGTTCTGATTGCCCTTTTCTGCTCTTTTTCCAGCTCTTATGATATCCTTTCTTAATTGAAGTAACCAAAACTATACAAAGTTTTCAAGTGTGCTCACACCATACATTTCGATAAGGGCAATATGGTATTGGTAGCTATAGTCTCCACTTCTTTCATAAATACGTCCAGCATGAAATGGGTCTTTATTACAGCAACCATTCACTAGATTGGCATTGAACCATTCAGCACAATCACTATCTCTTTCTTGATCAATAGCAAGATAACATTGGAAAAATAGGGAGGGGTTGCTCAAATCTGCATAACCTTTCACTTGCTACACTTGAGGACCTTATCACAGTAGACTATCCATCCACTTTAAATGTTATGGCTGCCTCCTCCAGAATTCTGGGGTTTGTAGTTTAGAGAGAGAGGCCTTTAAATTACTTGGCCAGAAAAGTCCTGGGCCTCACTAAACTACAAACCCCAGAATTTTGCAGGGGGCAGCCACAGGATTTAAAGTGGAGAGATACTCATTTGCTAAAGAGTCAGTGCTCATTTGTTCAATTTACAGATCCTTTTGAAGCTCTTCATAATTCATTTGTTGAATCCATAAATAATTCATCTCATTGCCTGCCTCAAAATCAGATAATTTACGAACAAGAAATAATTGAAGGATTCCTTAGTTTACATCATGTGGCCCTCCAGATATTGTTACACTGTAACAAAAATGAACTGGCAGCCCTCTCATGAGACAATATAATGTACAATGTATTTAAATTTAGTCATATGCTGTTTATTTATGATTTGGTTTATGTATGTAAAGCACTGAATTTTGCCATTATTTTTTGTAAACCGCTTTGAATCCCCCCAGGAGTGAGAAAAGCAGTATATCAATACTGTAAGTAAATAAATAATACAATATTCGTGCTGCATGGCTGCAGTGCAAAACATGTCAATTTGATATCACAAATATTATGTACATGGAGTAATATGTCTTTCTCTTCCAAAATGGTTATGTGATATCATTTTTCAATAAAGGAAAAGAAAACATGAATGATTCTCATATTGATAGTATTAGAATTAATATAGTGCCGTCAATGCATGAAACATTTTTTCCCTGTTCTTGTTTCTTTCTCTGCAGATCATTAACCTTTTTGTAGCTGTTATCATGGATAATTTTGATTATTTGACAAGGGATTGGTCAATTCTGGGCCCCCATCATCTGGATGAATTTAAACGGATTTGGGCAGAGTATGATCCTGAAGCTAAGTAAGTTCCCATCATGTTTTACAGATAAGAATTATATTAACTCTTTGTTCTTGCAAAGATTTAGCCTCCTAATACCAATGCTGCAATATAGTTACAACTAAAAATAATAACCAAGCTACTCTCTTTTGTCTGAGAACACAAATCTAATAAATCTTGATGAATGTTCTCATTACAGAGCAGATATAGGGCAGATTCAGAAACTTTGTTTTAAAAAGTATAGAGGTGTTGAATTTCAGCAGTCTTTTGCATTAATGTTTCATTAGCTCTAACAGTTGTCCTTATATTAGCTGTGATCGTTGATAGCTTCAAGCTGCATTTTGATGGCAACATACCACCTTGCCCCCACACACATAATTGTGCATTCTTGTGCATTTCCAAGTCTACCATTGGAAGACCTGAAAAAGAGGATAGCATGAAGAAGGCAAGTTGGGTGAATTTCCAGATGACCACTGGAAAAAAAAACCCATTATAGTTATACAACCTGGTCTTCATTGTAATATCTAGGAGAATATCAAAGGTTGCTACAGAGAAAGCTGTTATATGTACCCACAAAACCTAACTTCATTAGGCATTGGGATACATAACAGAGCCCTTTCTGAAGATCTCAAATTTCTGGCAGGTTTATGTGGGAGTTGGTCTTGCAGATATCCTAGCCCCTAATCATGTAACGCTTTGTATGTCAACACTAGTGCCTTGAATTGGTCTCGGAAACAAATTAGAAGTGAGTATAGTCCTTAAATGGTTACTATTATCAAGAAGAAACCAAGATTACATATCTTCTTGTTCAAATAAGAAGCACCTGCATGCTCAGAGCTTTGTTGCATAGTTTAAAAGACATACTAAAGCTAATATTTTAAATCTTAGAGAAGGAATCCAGCTTCTTTTTTTCCAAAATATCTTTCTGTGTGTTTATGCTTAATGATTGGAGATGTTGTATTTTAGGACATGTACACAAATGTCTTTTGGTATTGCTTACAGAAGAACCTTTTAATTTTATAACAATTATTTTTTATTATTATTATTGTAGATATTGTTGATTGAACAACCATTATAATTTAACAGATCTCAGTTGTATTGGAAAATTACGTATCTTTTCTGTCCCACTGAAATTTCTTTTTCTTATTGATGTACAAGAAAACGTGAAGCTAAATTAGATTTAGCACATCTTTTACTATTTGATCTTATAATCACATTCACTTCTGGTAATTATTAATTTACTGGCCATGTATACTCCTGTCAACAAAAATGTATGTTTTGTCAAAGTGATGAGGAAGAATAACCTGAAATGCCTTTGATTTTGCTAAAATCAAGGCTCACAAAAAGCCATAGATCCTGAACTGGAAATTAAAGTCCCACTTTGCTTCTTCTCAAGGAGGCACTCTGTGGGGGTCAATTAACAATGTACTAAGATCAGACAGGGTTTGTTGGTTTATATCTTTGCTTTCTGTCAATGATAGAAACAAATCAGCTCATGATATGAATAAAAAAGATGTATCCTTAAACATGGAAATAAACATATTATCACTTTGAAATAACTGCATTAAAAGCCATTTAAAAACACATTGGTTTTCCAAAAGTGCATTCACATATGATAGTCCTACCTTAAATTAAAGCTATTGTCAAGTTTAATATCATATTCCAAGTGCAGAATATAAAACAAATAAACACAAGCAATACATATGTGGAACATTTTTAAAGCTTTCTGGTTTAAAAAATATAGAATTTGCATGTATTCTGATTCCTTAGTAATAGAAACACCAGATCTCATTTTATATTACAATAGTACATTGTAGTCAGACAACTAAGTACAGCATATTTCTAATTATGGCATATGTGACAGATTCTGTTTTCATTTGCTTATAGAGGACGTATCAAACACCTTGATGTGGTGACACTCCTGCGTCGAATACAACCTCCATTAGGTTTTGGAAAACTCTGTCCTCACCGGGTAGCTTGCAAGGTATGATGTTGATGTTTCCGGTAATAGTTTCTAGCTCACGTTCCCCAGATCTTGCTGCATTATTCCTGATGATAAGGCATCCTGACTGGTAATGGTGAGAGCTGCCAGCCAACATCTAACCAGTTTGATTGGGAAATACTTTTCTATAAAAACCAGTAACTATGGTTAAATTCTGGGTTTAAGATATATCTATCTCTTGAGCCATGTGCTTGCTAACTGCACTAATTCTTCAGTTGCTTGAGGCCATTTTTGTCTAGAATTGAGCACATCACTAGTAATGCTGCCTCTTCCACATTTATGACAAAGTTTGCCCTAAAAGCAAGTTTGGGTACATATTCCTTAGCTTCTGTGTCCTGACCAGAACCTGCCCCTTCTTGTATGGGGAAGCAAATCACAGCAGGTAAAAGACACAGACCAAGCATTCTTCTCTAGCCAAGGTAATATCAATGGGATTAAAGCTGGTGGGGAAGGAAGCCAACACTATCCAAATAGTTCCAGCCACCTACGTACTAATCATCATGTCTGACAAACCTCCAAAGCATGTTTAGCTGTTTCCCCCTGGCATTATGTATTTTTTATTTATTTCCAAAAGAAAGAAATTAGCAACCAAAAAAAGTATTTTAAGAAAATAATACAATGGTAACAGTGTTTCTGGATATGACAGGCATACAAATTGTGGGACACCAGATGCTATCAGGTATACCCACAAAGCAGCCTCTGTTATTAGATTTCCTATCAGATTTAAGTCTTGCAACTAATAATGGATCAGAAGACTAAGAAAGGACTTGTAGGAAGAAAATCTGAAGTACTAATAATTATAGAAAATAAAGGTTCAGCCTTCCAATATCAGGTATATTATATGGCCCATCTTTGGCCAACATCCTTGCTGCTTTGCTGAAACAGAGAAACAAAATTGGATTGGGCCTTCTCTTTCCTGGTAATATAGTTGTACTTTGTATCCCTTTGGTTGTAATCAATATTTTTTTCTTATGAAACAGATAATGGTATCTTAGGAAACAGCCAGATAGAAACCATTGGTCGATTATTTATCATAGAGATGGAAATGTAATACGAAAAGGCAAATATTTCCATAATGAACATGTGTAGATCAGTGCAGAACAAATATAGCTCAAAACATCATGCTCACCTGAGACAAATGGCTATTTCACCTAATCACATGAAAGAGACTCACGTCATCACCTTGACTTGAACCAACTACCCGTTGACCTTTTCCTCACAGAATTGTCATCCTCACGACAATTTTTATAATATTAAATCAATACCAGAATTTACTTTCTTCCTCCTGTCCAGTCCCGTTTTCTTTTATAATAAACTATTACTTTAATTGCCTTGATTGCAAGGCAGAAAGGTGCTTTGTATGTTTACTAACTGTGCAGTGTGAAATTAATATGAAAAGCTACAGGCCATATCAGTAACTATGGTCTTTAATTATGGTTCAGATGTAGGCACTCAGGAAAATGCACTTACTCTTTTATATCATGAAGTTTAATGATGCTGAAAAATGTATCAGGTTCAGAAAAGGAAGAAGGTAATCATTACTAGTGAAGTGCCACAATGCTTTCACTTCTGAATAGAGCATGCTGAGTATATTTGATGTGTCCTGAACAGTTCTGTGATCTCCTGGTAAATCATAGCAACGGAAAAGATAAGTAGACTATAGTAATCTTTGAACTAGCCCTGAAATTGATGAGAATATTCTATGTTGAAACTAAGCATCATTCAATATCAAACTAATTCCAACTAATAACATATTTCCCGATTTCTTTGTACTCCTTTCCTTCTCCCACAGCGCCTTGTCTCCATGAATATGCCACTCAATAGTGATGGGACAGTTATGTTTAATGCAACTTTATTTGCCCTAGTCAGAACAGCATTGAGGATCAAAACAGAAGGTAAGGCATTTAAAGTCATCAGATGCAAAACCAAGTGCATCCATCCTTCTTCTCCTTAAAGTCTAAGTATACTTAAGTAATAATATACAAATTAACTGAATTGAATAATGTCTTACCTTGACTCAGTGGAACTGGCATACTTGGTTCTGTGATGTGGAAATAGGGAATGGCCCCCACAAAAAGGAAAGCTCATTCTGAGGAAATGCATAAAGAATAGCAAACTTCCTTCTGTAATTGAAGAAAAGATGAATGACTTTCCCTCCCACACTATCCACTCACAACCCATCTTCCAGTTATTCCTTCAATGGAAATTTGTTTTGATGGTGACAAATTCAGAATGTGTTTTTCCCAGATTCTTTTTAAAAATATAGCTTTGGGAGAATCAAAATTGCATTCAAAATATAAAATCTGAACATTTACATTTTAATTCTTAAATCACAATAAACCACAAGTTATTGTTATGTTAAAGTTCACTTATTATATATTACACCCTTGGGTCTCAACTACAGATGTGAATATCTGTTTATTTCATTCTCACATGAAAAAACAAAAACTGGTTTCCCCTAGCTGAATAAGATAATAAGAGTTTTTTCAATTTTTTCAATTTTTTCTATGATTTCTATTTAGCATCTTGGAAATATATTGAATTAATATATTTTTACTTTTTCCAATTCATTTTACTATTAGATTGTTATCCATACATTGTTATCCACTTTCTGTGGATTAAGGAGACTATAAAATAAAATAAAAACTAAAGTATTTGAAGATGAATCATAGAACCAGTCAGGCCAAAATGACCATTATTTTGAGGCTGATAGGAACTAAGTCATTTTTCTCAATTTTTATTTATTTATTTATTTATTTGCTACATTTATATACCACGTTTCTCCCCCTATGGGAATTCAAAGCGGTTTCCAACATTATAAAGGCAAAATTCAATGCCATACATACATGTGAAAACCAAAAGATAATAGCACAACAATAACATATAACTATAAATTAATCTAGCCAAATTATAACATAAACATAAAAGAACAATTAGACATAAAGCATAAAAAATAACCATTGACAATATAATAACATTTGTATTAAAAACCACCAATATGCAACATGATTTAACAAGAGTTATTAAAATCAATGTTGATTCCCATACAGATGTTAACAGGTGAGAAATAATATTTTTGATAAAGGTTGCTTTGCTTGATTCGTGCTCTTGGATTTTCACATTTTGGCCTGCATTTACAAAGCAGTTATGTATTGATGAGGTCTGAGGCAGAAAAAAAAAAGAACTGTGTTTTTAGTGAATTACTCATGCAACTACTTCATTATGGAGATCTATTCAATATTCATCCACCTCTACAAAGTACTCAGGCCTTGCTGTATAATAATCAGATTATATGCAGAAGCTTTGAAAAAAGCCATAGACGTTCTTCCTGAAATGCCTTGGCTGCTCTTCAGATTTCCTCTTGCACTAGATGTTCCTATATCTGTGTTATAGATCTATTATAATTGTTATTTCTAGCTTCATCACCTTTATTCTAACAACTAAATTGGTTTTATATGTCACGGAGTCATTTACATATTTCTTATCCAACTCTAACCAGCACCGCACATTCTCAGATCCTCTAGTGCAGAACTTTCCAACCTTTTCATGCTGGTAACACACTTTTTAGACCTGTATCTTTTTGTGACATGGTAATTCAGTTTAACTAGCAAACTGAGGTTAAACTGTATAAGAGATACAGACTCAGAGATAAATTGTACTAATGAAATGTATGGGGCACAATGTATCTCATGAAAGCTTTTCATTTATATTCTTTAAAAATATATGAGGTATTGCTTATTTTGTATAGACCAGCTTTTTGCTTTTTGCACTTACGACTCTTTTCCATCTGAGATTTTTTTATGTGACCAAGGCTATATAAGTATATAAACTAGATATACAAATAACTGATAATAAATAATAAGAAAATGTTTTTAAAATAATTTTGTGTCATTTGTAACCTTGATAAGGTTTTCTCTGTCATCAAAGTCATTGATAAAAATGTTGAAGACTAATGGCTCTAGGATACAACCCCGAGGCAGCCATTTGATGATGACTCTTTGAAACAATTATGGATCCATATGGTGAGGTTCCCATCGATTTCACATATAATCAGTTTATTTTCTCTGGTAGGTAATTTAGAGCAAGCCAATGAAGAGCTGCGTGCAATTATTAAGAAAATATGGAAACGCACTAGCATGAAACTGTTGGATCAGGTTGTGCCCCCAGCAGGTGGTGAGTACAGCTTTCTTTCATCTTTCTATTTAATAACACTGTTTAATCTCTATGTGTAAATTAAACAATTGCAGTTACCCCTGAACAGAAAACTGGAAACTAGATGTTATGATCAGACAATTAAGATGGCTTACTGGACACGGTTATCTATATCTATCTATATGTCTATATAATAAAAATGAAAATATGTTTGTATGTATGAGATTTCCAAGATGGTTCTCACATCCAAAGAGCCCTGTGACTCCCCCCAACAACAGATCTGGACCAAACCTAGCACACAGATCCCCCTGACCAACAGAAAATACTGGAGAGGTTTGGGAGGAATTAACCCAGCATGATGGGAGTTCCATCCAGAAAACTCTGTGAGCTCCACTGATGAGGGATCAGGACCAAACTTGGTACACAAACTTGTCATGACCAACTTTAACTACTGGTATGAGGGCAATGATAGGATGATGGAGGATATAGTTCACCCATAATAAACCCCACCAACAATTAATCCGGATCAAACTTGGCACACATACCCACTGTGACCAATTTTAAACACCGGAGGGGTTTGGGGGCAATGACTGAGAATGATGGGAGTTGTAGTTTACCTATATCTTTATGCATTTTCTAATAGGAACATTCATAAAGTCCAAAACCAAATAAGGGATATTTTAATGTTTATCCCTTCAAAATCCCTAACTAGAGCATCACTGGGTACCAAAGGTATATATAATAAATAAACTATGGATCTCGACCAAACGTAACCAACATGGAAAAAAATAAAGCAACTAGAAGGAAAATAATAACAGTATGAAAGACATCTTCAGAATGAAGTCAACCAGATACAACATTTGGATTACCTGAAAAGACAGTTTTCAATGAAATTAGTAGGCATCCCGAAAGAGATAGAAAACTTACAAACAGTTGGAGGAGAAGCATTTGCGGAACTGCTTACCACACAGCCCCATGAAATTGAGAAACAGCTTGATTATGTCCACATAATTAATTTAAATTACACCAAAAGGAAAAAAGTCCTGAGAGATGTAGTTGTAACCTTTGTTGAAAGAAGCCTGAGAGACTTGTCTACAAATGACAGCAAAAAAATCCCATCAAAATAAAGGACAAAAGAATCATTATATTGGGAGACTTATCTCCACAAATTATTCAGAATATTTATTTATTTATTTACCATATTTATACCATGCCCTTCTCACCATGTAGGGGACTCAAGGCGGCTTACATATATAGGCAGCGATTCAATGCCATACGAACATACATAGTAAAATAAACATATACATTAAAGCATTCATTAAAAACATATCAAATCTTAAGTAAAGGTAAAGGTTTCCCCTTGACATTAAGTCTAGTCATGCCTGACTCTGGGGTGCCCATCTCCATCTCTAAGCCGAAGAGCTGGCGTTGTCCACAGACACCTCCTAGGTCATGCAGCAAGCATAGAGTGCCATTACCTTCCCACAGAAGTGGTACCTATTCATCTAATCACATTGGCATGTTTTCAAACTGCTAAAACTACTTATTTAAAATCATGCAATCCAATGTCACAGTCCATAGCCATTCCAAATTGTCACTGCATTATTCCATATTCCCTTATTGCACAGGTAGATCACTAACCAAACACCTGGTCCCACATCGACATCTTTAGCCTTTTCCTGAAGGTCAGGAGGGAGGGGGCTGATCTAATTTCACTATGAAGGGAGTTCAATGGCCAAGGGGCCACCACTGAGAAGGCCCTGTCTCTCTTCCCTACCAACTGCATCTGCGAAGGAGGCGGGACAGAGAGCAGGCCTCCCCAGAAGATCTTAACCTCCTAGCTGGCTCATAGAGGGAAATACGTTTGGACAGGTAAACTGGGCCGGAATCATTTAGGGCTTTATAGGGGCTAAAGCCATGTTGGGTATGTGTGCCAAGTTTAGTCCAGAACCATCATTTGTTGGGCTCAGAGTGCCCATTGATTGTAGGTGAACTATAGTCCTACCTGCCAGTATTTTTTCTCCCAAATAATTTTGAAAATTGAAGAACTTCCTTTGTAGATATTAACTATAAATAATTTAAGAAAAGATTTAATGTGTGAATAATTTAATTTAATGTATGAGGCTTCCATACCTCAACAACCCCCACCCTCTTTGTTTTCTCCTTGCAACATATTAGACATTTGTAAAGATGCAACCAATAACTAATCTACTATCCCCAAATTTTTCCTTTTCCTTCCCTTGTTCCCCACTCTCCTAGTAAATGTTTAATCAAAATTATTTGGGAGAAAAAATACTGACAGGTAGGACTATAGTTCAATGAGCACTCTGAGCCCAACAAATGATGGATCTGGACTAAACTTGGCACACATACCCAACATGACTAACCTTGAATACTCCCAGAGATTTGAAGGGAATTCACTCACACTATTGGGAGTTGTAGTTCACCCCCATCATTATGCATTTTCTAATGAGTTCAGTCTTAAAATCCAAACACAAATAATGAATAATTCTTAAGTTTATCCTTAGCAAAGACCTTATTCAGGCATCACTGGGTACCTAAGCTAGTCAGTAAATACAAAGGAAAAGCAACAAATAAAACTGACACACCATCTGTTTACTGGGATCTTTTAAATCTTCCACCTAGATGATGAGGTAACAGTTGGAAAGTTCTATGCTACATTCCTGATTCAAGAGTACTTCCGAAAATTTAAGAAACGCAAAGAACAAGGCCTTGTTGGTAAACCTTCACAACGGAATGCTCTATCTCTTCAGGTAAGAAATCAGTATATACACTGAAATCTGTAAGCATTAAAACAGAAAGTGACATTGACAATCAACAATTTTCATTCTTTTTACCAAGGATCTAGGCCACAGATTCTAATTGTAAAATAAAGGGGGAGAGACTTCCATTTAAAAAAAAATCAGTTGCTAGTTCCACCTCATGATTTCCACTCCCCCTTTGAATTTAAACTAATCAGACCACGTCAGAACACGTTTTCACCAGAACAGAGTGAACTGGCATGCTCTCATTCTCTTTTTAAATTCCCCAAGCACCACATTACTGAAATGATTACCAGATTACCAAAATTAAGTGTTGAAATACCAATAGATAAAGAAGCCACATATTTTAAAGTGGTTTTTTTCTTTTTAAAAAGTGAGGGTTTTTTTCAGCTGTGGACTGTCTCTGAGTTTGGGTAGTATGGCAGAAATTCTACAGCAGAAAACATCATAACAAAATGAAATCTCCCATTAAGAGGCGTTCCAGACACCCATACCAGTTTTGGGGATACACAGGAAGATGAAGAGGCAAATACCTCTCCTGCTTTAGCTGAATTCTTCTTTTCTAGAAGTAGAAATCTAATATTTGACCTTACCTATATTCTATTGTCAAGTCAAGCAATCCGAGTCAACCCAAAAAACAATCAAGGGACGCTAGTCTGAGTGAAGTTCTCTCGCTGCTGCTTCGGCGGCGGATGAAGAGAACTGGAGGCTGCAGCCCCTCCCACGGGCTACTTATACTCAGAGGGGAGAGTGGGCGGGGCCTACAGCCAGAAATGTTTAATAGAATTTCTAGAAGGTTCCGAAAGCTGTTCTGCGCAGGCGCAAGAATTACCATATGTGCGATTCACAGTTGACCATGAGAGGGAATCTCTGACTTCAAGTATCTTTTCTCTTGAAGTTCTTAAAGTATTTGATTAATCTCTGTGATCATTTAAAGACATAGCCATTTCAGTAGGCCAAAATATTTCGCAGCATTTTAAAGACTTGGTGACTGTATTCGTTTAAACTTCTCTAAAGATAATTGTATCTTTCAGGCTGACATTTTATATGCATGCCTATGTGGCGTAAACACCACATACTGGAACTTGTTTTAGAGTAGATCTACATGTGATTGTGCTATAGGTGCACAATAATAGCTCCACCAAGAATACTTTTGTATTTTCCCCAAACAACCTAAGTTCGTGATTTTAATATTTGAATGCAAAGATGCTGTTCCCAGATAATGGCAGATAACCGAACCATGTGGGGGGAAATTCCAGAAAAAAAATAAGTTATCTTGAATTCTATTGTAATTAATAATGTTAAAGCATTTATACATTTATTGGGATTGTACCCTTCATATTCAACATAAAGGGAAATTACTGCTTTAGGATTGTACAGTGTTCAGAACTCAGAACAGCATCAAAGTAAAAACTATTTGCAGGACTATAGCATGATTAAGCCAGTTTAGCATTACAAAATACTTTTCCATCCATTCAAAGTTTTATTTTTTATGTTCCTGGGACCCAAATTGGGTAGATCCTGTCTACCTAATCTTTTTGCAACATTATTTTACCAACGGTAGCAACTTCAATTAACTTTTATTTCTCTTATCTACTACTGTGGTTAAATTATATTCTCTTTCAGGCTGGATTGCGAACATTACATGACATTGGACCAGAAATTCGAAGGGCAATCTCTGGAGATTTAACAGCAGAAGAGGAATTAGACAAGGCCATGAAAGAAGCTGTTTCAGCTGCCTCTGAAGATGACATCTTCAGAGTGAGTGCTTTTTATGTTGCTTCCATCAACATGGTTGGGCTTCTGTAGCTTTATAAATATTGTTGGGCTGTATATATCATGAGCCCTAGCCAGTACAGCCAATGAGGAGGATTTATGGGAGAACCTATCAACTAGAATTCCATTGGGCACTATGTTAGAAGAGGAATTAGGCAAGGCCCTGAAAGAAGCTGTTTCAGCTGCCTCTGAAGATGACATCTTCAGCGTGAGTGCTTTTTTATGTTGCTTCCATCAACATAGTTGGGCTTCTGTAGCTTTAGAAATATTGTTGGACTATATATACCATGAGCCCTAGCCAGTACAGCCAATGAGGAGGATTTATGGGAGAACCTATCAACTAGAATCCCATTGGGCACTATGTTAGTGAAAAAAATGGTTGAACTTTCTCAAAGGTTATATAAATGTGCTCCCTAATCCAGCCAGTCATTCCACAAGTATGAACCCTAGAACATCTAACACAGATATTTCTACAAAGAGTATTCATACTTTATTTCAAACTGTACTGTATTTTATGCAGAAAAGAGCAAAAATGAAGTGCTCTTCAATCTACTAAGTAAAATGTGGATTTGCTTTGTGTTTTGCCTCCTCACAGAGAGCTGGTGGCTTGTTTGGAAATCATGTTAGCTACTACCAAAGCGATGGCAGAAGTTCATTCCCCCAAACCTTCACTACTCAGCGTCCTTTGCACATCAACAAATCTGGCAACAATCAGGGAGACATAGAATCTCCATCCCATGAGAAACTTGTGGATTCTACCTTCACCCCAAGCAGCTATTCATCATCAGGCTCCAATGCTAACATAAACAATGCCAACAACACTGCTCTGAGCCGTTTTTCTAGTCCACCAAACTACCCCAGCACTGTCTGCACTGTGGAAGGCCACAATACACCTTTGTCACCTGCTGCAAGAATTCATGATGCTTCTTGGAAACTTGGCTGTAGAAGGTAAAGACTACTAGCAGTACTGCTGTAGTACCCCCCCCCCCCCTCCCCAGCACCAACTGCTGCTCTGAGATCAGAATGAAGAGAGGGGCCAGGAAGGCAGTTCCATCTTGTCTCCTGCACTGTGCTTATAATATAATACAATACAATATAATATATTGTATATACATATAATATTGATAATATTATAATGTAATACAATATACTACTACTAATAATAAAATGATATTATAATTATATATTATATATTAAATGTAATATTACTAATAATTTTACAGTATAATGTTATAGTACAATGTAATATATAATATTAATATTGTGCTATGATAATAATATAATATATTATATTTACTTTTTACTTGTAAGCTGCTCTGTGTCCCCTTTGGGGTGAGAAGGGCGGTATATAAATGTCGTAAGTAAATAAATAAATAAATATTAGCAATTGTATAGGACTGAAATTACACAAGTCTCTATAGATCAAATATACAAAGTGTGGAAACACTGGATTATGGGAACAGCAATCCAACAGCTTGCCCATGGTGATATTTCACCAAAAAAAATCAGTAACCTTACTCACCACACACCAAGTCTCTGTGCATGTTCCCTTGGATCAGAATGATAGCTTGCCTGAAATTAAAATATTTAAAATACACGTATTATTCCACATTTTTGTTGCATGGGAACCAAGGCATTTTACAACCTAGATTAAAACAGAAACCTACCAAAAAAATTAAAGAACTATTAAACAACAGTCCCATTAGTGCACTAATTTAGAACAGTTTAAAATACATTTAAAGCCTAATAATGTGCTGCTCAGCAGGTTGTTCTAGGCTGTAAGTTTATTGGGACAAGACTTAAGAGAGGCAAGAAGTTGAACCCTAGATTACATGCTGTGATTTTGCTGATCACTTACGGAAAAAGTTGTTCAGACTCACTCAGAATTTGAGAACACACTTTTTGCAGAGTTTGGAGGCTCCATTTAGGCAGAATTCTCAAAATCTCACTACATGTAAGTTCAACTTTTGTACATCTCAGCAACAAAAATTCTGGATGGAGGGTCATAAGGAGATTTAGAGGGTGTCACTAGTACAGACTATTAATCCATAGAATGTCTAGATTCAGCTTCATTTTATTAGTCCTCAACCAGCACATTACAACATCCAGATCCAGCACAAGCAAAGCCTCAGCTTTGTAGTCACCAGTTACTCTGACGATAAGGAAAAATACAGCTGGTTGTCACCCACCTTTATTCCTACTTGTAAGTGTTAGCTGAGACTTTGCAGGTACTGGCCCTGGATATTGTGGTTAGCAAGTTGAGGGCTAGTCTCGTAAAACGAAGCTAAATCTTAAAAAGATAGCAGTTCTGTGGATTAATGGTTTTCAGGTCGAGAATCTTAGATTCGTCTTTGCAGTTGGAGACTCAGGTGGACACTATGGCTTTGAGTGTTTAGGGTCAGCTTTGGCTAGTATACCAGCTATGGACCTTATGGGAAAGCGATTAAATTAGCCATATGCACTCCACATGAGACTACCTTGAACAAGTCAGAAACTGCTGCTAGCACAGAATTCAGCAGTTGATTGCTGAATGGAACATGATGTAAAAACCATATAACACCTGTTTTAAAGGAATTGCACTGGATGTCAATATGCTCTTGGTTTGAATTCAAAATAATTACTTGCATGTGTAACTCTGAAGAAGTGCACCTTCATATATGAGCAAGTATGATGTTGTGGCTTGAGCACTGAACTACAACTCTGGTGACCAGGATTCAAATCTCCGCTTGGCTATGGAAACTCACTGGGTGACCTTGGGCAAATCACATTCTTTCCACTTCAGAGGAAGGCAATGGCAAAGTTCCTCTGAACAAATCTTACCAAGAAAATGCCACAAGAGGTTCACTTTAGGATTGCCATAAGTCAGAAATAACCTGAAGGTACAAACTAACAACCAAGATTTAAGATCTGCTTCTCTTTTGTGTCCCATCAGTCATGGTAATATGTTATGACAGAAAGTGTAAGAGGGCATTCTGTGTGGCGGTACTCTTGTTCAGGAACCAAGTAAAATATGGTTGCTCACAGAAGCTTTTAGGACCTAATTAGTTTTAAGCAACCCTCACATATTTTTATTTTTAATTCATTTTAAACCATTTTAACTCTTTTAATCTTTTAAATTTATTAAATAATTGATTTTTTTACTCATTTAAAATTACACTGTTTTAAATTTGTTATATTGGTTTCAATATATGATGCCCTGAAGCTCCTGAATAGAAGATAATATATACATTTTAATAATGGAATAACATTTTGACCTTAAATTATTTTATATTTTGAAAATTATAAATATACATCTAATATAAACATATTACTGATAATTAACAATCCATCTAACATCATTTTGGGTCTGAGGACAGTCACTATTATCCAGCTTTCAAGTATAGTATTGCCGCATTATTCATTTATAATGCAATAATAACTATATTTGTAGGGACATTAACATAACTCTATATATCAATACAGATAATATGCCAGCCAATTTTGGCAAAGTACAACTGTCCACTGACACTACTGCAGATAAACTACTTCATACAGTGATGCATATTTGAACTGTGAAATGCACTGTCACAAGATATTGTACTGTAACTGCCAGCTTGGACAGCTTTAAAATGGGATTGGATAAATATTGTACATTGAGGTTAAGGTTACCAGTAACTTCTAGTTAAGATGACTATGTTATCATTACTAATCTCAGAGGCAGAATGCTCATGCCTTTCATTTCCAGAGAATGAGAGAGTAAAGTTGTAATTGCGCTCCTCTTCTGATAGTGGTCTCCCCATAAATAACTGTTGACCAGAATGTCGGACTCGATAGAGCTTTAGTGTGATCCATCATAGTTCTTAACTTATATCATGTTTCTTGAAATATAATAAACAGATATTACAGGATTGTTCCATTTCTTTGATTTTCACTGCAAAATCAAAATCTATTGGAATCTTATTTTCTAACTCTCTATCCATTTAATTTCTTAATTCTGTCATCTTTTCTTCCCAATGCTTCCCTGATGAATTAGAACATGCTACTATGGTACAGTGGGGCGGTAGGTGCTTACTTCCCAGTTCTAGTAGTTTTGCCAGAGAAGTTAATGTATAAATGGATGTTGAATTTAAAATATTAATTTCAGAGTTAACATGTCTATTGAAAAACCAATTTTCTGACAATGACAGCAGAACAATATATTTTAAAATATTTATTTCCCATTAATTCACGATTGCCAAAGTGTTGTGAATGTGTTTTTCATCAAATACTGATAATAGACTACTATTATTAAAACAATCAAAACATGTTGGGCTGAACTGCCAAGGTTGCCTCTGGATTTTTGGTTAAATTCGCCAACTCATTATCAAAGGGCCTTTCCATACTGCCCTTTATTCCTGGATCTGATCCCAGATTATCCGCTTTAAAGTGGAATATATGAGTCCCCACTGCCAGATAACCTGGGATAAACAGATAATTTGGGATCAGATCCCAAGATAAAAGGGTAGTGTGGAAGGACTCCAAATGATATTTTCCTTTCCTAATGAGGAATTTAGTCATTGAAGTAAATTTTGAGCAAGAGCAAACCCCTAATTTCCAGCACCAAATTCAAACCATTATTTTACTAAAAATTCTTTTATCAATCATTTTTGTGGGGAGATAAACTTTTTAATTCTGGTACATCATCAACTGGGGAAAAGTAATGTGTACATAATTTATTTACTTCCCACATTTGTACCCCACCCTTCTCACCCTGAAGGGGATTCAGGGCAGCCTTACAACAGGCAGTGATTTGATGCCAACACATATAAATCTGAAAATAAACAAATACAATTAAAATATTGGTGCAGTACTGAGGGGACATTTCATAGAACATTGTTGTGTCAGATCTGTTTCTCTAAAGTTCTGCTGTTGAGGTCTGTTACTTCTTGGAGTTTTGCTTTTAATCATTTGGGAGTGTTTTGGGAAAGAGATATATAAAGGTACATGCTTCCTATTCCCTTTCCCCGTCCCTAAATTAAGGGTTGTCAGCAAGAGTTATGTCACAACTTTCCCATTATTTAAATGTTGTGTGATATACACACACACACACATATGTGTGTATATGTATGTGTGTGTGTGTGTATGTATATATATGTGTGTGTGTGTTAGAAAATACTACAGCTGTGTGTACATCATGATTTTTTTAATGTATAGATCATGTTCCAGAGACAGTCAGGTAGCTATTGTTTGTGAAGAAGAGACTTCTCAGGAGGAGGAAATGTATGATAAACAACTGAAGGAAGAAGCGGAGTACTGCAGTGAACCAAGTCTGCTGCCTACTGACTTGTAAGTATTTTATTGTTCCAATGAAGCAGTTTGATGAGTTTTGCAGTAGGCCAGGAGCAGGAGAAATATGACCCTCCACCAAATGTTTTTGCACTGCATTTCCCACAATTCATAGCCAGTTGTGAATAATTAGGTGTTCCAGCCCAATGTCTGGAAGGTCACATGGTTGGCTGGATTGGGTTCATTTCTGCTAGTAGTAGGGCACTGGAAACAAAAGTGTTCCTCCCTCATTTGTCTCCCCTATGGCAGACTTGCCACCATGCTCATAGGGCAGACATAAGGCCCATGGGAATCATCATCGTCCTTATCTTTATTTTTAAAGGCCCATGGGAACCGCCCTGAGTCACCTCGGGCTGAGAAGAGTGGTATACAAATATGGTAAATAAATAAATAAATAAATAATGCTGTTCTTGCTGAGCATGACTGGGCTGCAAAGTTCAGGCACTGTATTCCAGATACCAGAATTAGAATTTTCTCTTGTCAGTGTTTATTACACCATTCCTTTCATCCAAGTCTGCCTTGATTTGCTTATATTAACTAATTCTGCTTATGTTATCCATGGAGATTTAATATTATATTTTCTATTCATCGAGGAACTGGGTTGCACTGCATGTAACCCAAGCATAATCTCTCTTAATAAAAATGAGACTGCCACATAAATACAGAGAGTGCACTTCTAAGAACCAAATCAACCCAACTGAGGAACTCTATGACACTCAACCCCACTACTGAAGCAGAGTTTTAAAGAGAGCATGTTCCCATAAAATGGAAAAAATAGCTCATAATAGGCTGATGATAGCCTTTAGTGCAGACTGAGCTCTTATCCACAAAAAGCCACTTCTGTGCTTTACCAACAAGCAGTGTCTGATTTCAGCTGTTACCTAGCTAAAGATTTTGATAAAAAAATATTATATTCCATTCCAGGTGCTCATACCAAGATGATGAACATAAACAGCTAACTCCATCTGAAGACAACAAATGGGAAGACACTCAACACTCTCCAAAGAGTGGACTCCTACATTCCTTATCCCTAAGTAATACTTTTGTCATGTTCTGCAGACATATGCTGCCGAATTCCATTAAGTTTTGCTAGCTTTGCTTTTACTTAATTTGCTTCTTTTGAGTCACATGAAACTGGGACCTAAATAGAATTACTAGTCCAGTTATGGAAACATATAAAAATTGCTAATGAAAAGTCATCATTAATGTAAATTTCACTGATCCTATGAGATGTTGGGACGAGCAATTAAATTTAAATCTGTCTAGATTTTCAACCAGTTATTTACAGTGCTGCTTTATGTGTTGGAATATCTTTGAGTATGAAAGGCATATATATAAATATTGTGCAGAAAGTTTAGTGCTATTGATTTTTCAGTCGGAGTAGGACAGTCCTGAACTTCCAAAAAAGTAATTAGATTATAAACCTAGGCCTTTATAAAATATGACTAGGATCCTGCATTGATAGATGGAGCTGCAATGACAAAGTGCCCCTTACCCAAAAAAGAATATTACAAATGAATAATTAATGTATTTACGCGGTGATATCAATAGAACCTAATTGATATCAGTGCATACATGTATTAATTATTCGATTAGCCTCATTGCAAAATTACACATGATAAAGAAATAATAAACACAGACCTGAATTCAGCGCAAAAAACTCTATAAGAATGATGTAAAATAATATCTGATGGAAAATACTTGTTGGCTTGTGGTTAGATTCTGTTGATATCAGTGCATAAATCCACTAATTCTTTGATTAGTTTCATCACAAAAAATACACATGATAGAGAAAAAATAAACACAGACCTGAATTCAGTGCAAAAAAACTCATATCAGAATGACCTAAAATTATATCTGATGAAAAATATTTGTTGGCATGTGTTAATAGAATATGATGTGAAATGTGCAGACTTTACAGTAGTCCTCTAATGTACCATTCATCATATTTTAAAAGATTGACGTGATGGGAAAAATAAAGACATATTTAAAATCATCATAAAATTGATTTAAATTGTGCTACTCTCATTTCTGATTATTACAAAAAGTTTGAGTTTGTTGGCTTGTGTTATAAACACATCCTTTTTTAGTGTATTGATAATTTCCTCCAAACTCCAGCATATAATATTTCAATTTAATCATCTGATGAATGAAAAACAATTAAATATTTTGCAGATTTCAATATGAGTCCTTTATCTTCAGAAAGAATAAGCAGGATCTAACCATACTTACCAGTTTCATTCCGAATCACAGAAATATAATTTAAATCTAGTCAGAAGATGGTGATCCCTAAGCATGCCCACATCACATGTCAGATGGAAGCATTATTAGCGTTACATTGCTAACATTTAACTAAAGTAGTCAGTTTTTCAAAGAGGATTTAATTTTGTGTGGCATGACACTCTCTCCTCTAGATTTAGTGCTAGTCTCCCATTTGTGTGTTATGGACACCATGAAGAAGAACGGGCTGCTTTAGGTGTCAATCTGTCAACTCATATAACCACATCAACATCTCCTGACTCTCTTTAGCTCTTTGGCAGCTGTTCTGGTGTCCATGAAACTGAGGGTACACTAATATGCCATTATCTCTTAAATGCTTATGTAATAGCTCTAGAAGCTTTCAAATGATGTACTGCGCAGGTACAAACAATCCATTAGGGTATATACACAGCTATCCACTCAAAATAACCACAGTTATGAATAAGCAACCTGTTCATCTCACAATCATCCAATTTCCTCTATAAAAAGGATGGTCCCAAATCTTAAAAATGTAGATTATCCCAAAAGATTGTCTTAATATGACCGTATTGATGAAATAATTGTTGATAAGAGAAATCACTCACTGGAGCATTCCGGCTGCAGAAACTGCAAGGGATAACCATATTTTCTTCCTTATATAAACATTAACTAAAGCAGTCCAGCCCAAAAGAGAGATTTAAAAAGTTCATTCCAAAATTCCCCAGATAAGTGTATCTACATTAAACCATGTCTGCCAACTGTCTTTTACAAGGCAGGGAGGAACCTGCCCTACTTGCCAGCTTTTTCTATTAGTCAAGAAATACACCTATCGGTAAAAATGCAAATCTTGAAAATTGAATCCTCCTTCAGAGTTTGCCAAGTGAAAAATGGAAAAATGAGAACTACTACCACCCCTCATGAATTTCCTCAATATTTTATTTATTTATTATTTATTTATTTATTACTTGCACTTATTAACCGCCACTCTCAGCCCTAGGGCGACTCGTGGCGGTGTACAAAAACATAGAAAAGACAATTTACAATTTTCTGAAAACATGTTTAGGGAGTATACACTAAGATTCCAAAAGGTACATATAATATCCTTGATAAGATGTTCATCTTAAGTATATTAATCTTCCACCAAACTGGCTAGGCTCACAGGCAAATTCAGTTTAATCACCTGAACATACTCCAAGGAAACAATATACATAAACCTCTACTATCTTCAGATTAACAATGAATCTGCCAGCTGGCAAACAGCTGAATGAGAATTAATCCAAATAATACCACTTCAGATTGTCAGAAAGGTATACGTGGTAGAAGAAAAGGTCTTTTATGAGACTTTCCTGACAAGTAGATGGGTTACAATCTTGACTTCTCCTTGTCATTTTGCATGTGTCATTTTCTATATGTAGCCATAAACTATTCGGTAGTGAAATTTGGCATGGCAACCTTCATAAACATTTTTATGACACTGGAAACTAGACTATATACAATATCTGACATATAATCCCATAAATTGACATGGTAGAATGTATTGTAGGTACTTGTATTTTTCTTTACCTAATGTTTTCCCCCTGCAAATGTACCCTCCTTCATAGTCATCCTAATGTCAGTTAGGGTAAAAATAGTGCAAAGATTTAAAAAAATAACTGCTGACAAGTAGGGAAACAATGATCATCCCTTTTAGCTTATCGGTTACCCACTATACATGTATTTCCACTCAATGTTACCAGGTAACCACATTTTATCTGTCGCATATGTGATTCTATACCAGGCATGGGCAAATTTGGCCCCTCCAGGTGTTTTGGACTTCAATTCCCACAATTCCTAACAGGGAGTTGAAGTCCAAAATTCCTGGAGGGCCCAAATTTGCCCATGCCTGTTTTATACCATCTGATTATGAAGGTGGTTTACATTATCATCTTATATCTGCACAATTGGTTTTGCAGGACGAAAAGCATCCTTTCATCTGGAGTGTCTAAAAAAACATAAAACTCAGAATGCAGAAGTCCCACAGAAGACCGTGCTACCCTTGCATTTGGTACATCATCAGGTGAGATTTCATGGCAAAACACATAACCACAGAATCATGCTCTACCTGAACAATTGTGTACATAATCTCAAGATTATGCCCAGTTGTTCTCATTGATGTGGAAAATGAAACTGATGTCCAAAATTATTGATGCATTCAATACCTCTGCATCTTTTGTGGAAACAGTGTTTCTTTCAGAGGTCATCTGTGAACTCAAACACATGGCCCAGGAGCAGAAACACAGGCCTCCTGCCTAGAAGGACCCAGCGAAACAACCAAAACAGGGGAAACTCAAACCAGTAGAGACTTTTCCAGTTTTTCAAAGCTTGGTGAGTTGTGTGGATTCCAGGCTGTATGGCTGTGTTGTAGCAGCAGTTTTTCCTGACCTTTCACCTGCATCTGTGGCTGGTACCTTCAGAGGATCTGATGGTGGTAAAGCAAGTGGAGTATATATACCTGTCGAGAAGCAGGGAAAGGTGGGTGGGGGCCGAGGGAGAAGCAGGGAAAGGTGGGTGGGTGGCGAGAGAGAAGCAGGGAAAGATGGGGGGCAAGGGAGAAGCAGAGAAAGGTGGGTGGGGGCTGAGGGAGAAGCAGAGTAAAGTGTGCATGGGGCAAGGGAGAAGCTGAGTAAGGCATCCGCGGTGCAAGGGAGAAGCTGAGTAAAGCGTGCACAAGGTGAAGGAGAAGCAGAGAAAGATGTGTGGGGAGTGAGGAAGAAGCAGAGTAAAGCACACACGGGGCGAAGGAGAAGAAGAGAAAGGAGAGCTGGGTGCGGAGATGTGAGGGTCCTGGAAGGAAGATTCCTGCCAGGACCCTCATCCGCGTATAAGCCAAGGAAAGGTTTTTCACCCTAAAAAAACGGCTAAAAAACTCGGCTTATACTCAAGTATATACGGTATATATACTCTACTTGCTTTACTACCCACCAGATCCTCTGAAGATGCAAGCCACGGATGCAGGTAAAACATCAAGAAAAAAATACTGCTAGAACATGGCTATACAGCCCAGAATCCACACAAAACTCCAGTGATTCCGGCCATGAAAGCCTTCGACAATACATTTTCAAAGCCCGCTTGGGAAAAGACCTAACAGTGCCTGCAGTGCCTTTCTATTACATGGATTTCTCTCCAGCAAAGAAGAGAAGACATGTTTTATATACAGTTTATTAAATAAACGGTAGCAGAATATTAAAGCAATGCCATTAAAGCCATGCCGACAAAACCAACTGCCAATTAATCCTAACATTTTTTCAAGACATCCTTTACCATTTTTCTCATAATCTAACTCAGTTTCCTAACCTAATAATTTCTCCCAATCTCCCTTTTTCTATTTATAGGCACTAGCAGTTGCAGGTTTGAGTCCTCTTCAAAGAAGCCATTCACCTCTACGGTATTCTCGATCATGTGGTACACCTCCTGCTACACTCTGTGCACAGGACTGGCCACAACAATCTATTCAAACACTCCAACCTGAATGCGAAGAGTCTGATGAGAAGCTCAATAGCAGTTTCCCATCAATATATTGCAGCTCCTTATATTCTGATAGCCCCAGCTCTAGCAGCACGCGAAAAGCTAGGCCGGCCTCCCTCACAGTTCCCAGCCATACTAGAGAGTGTGGAAGACAATTACATGGCAGTGCTAACAGCCTTGTTGAAGCGGTGAGTTGATGCAATATTCATAAAAATTGTAATAACAACAATAACAGTTAAATGGAGAGCTTTGTATTTTACATCTCTTCCTTAATTTGCTGTGCTTCAATCACACATCTGAACTGGGTGCATATGTGCTTTCACCACTACCTTCTCTCCTAATTCAGCATATCACACTCCTGTTGAGCCGTGGCACTGCAAGAATTTCAGAGAACAGAAGAAGGCAAAGAAGCTAGGCTAAGTGACTAGATACACACACACACACATACACATATTCTAAGACTTAGAGTGCATAAAGACATACCTCAGTTAAGAAAGCCTTTGCTAAAGAAATTCCTTTTTTACACAATCTTTTTTACAATTAGCTTTTCTGCTTTCCTCATCCTCCCGCAGGTTGATTTTTTAAAGTAGCATGGTGAAGGAAAGCTAGGGAAACATAGACTTTCAGTGTGGAACTATAGCAGTATGTCTTCATAAACAATGCAATAAACAAAGTTTCAGCTAGTAAAATGTAAGATTCTATTTTAACTGATCCTACTACAGCTATGTAGGCCTTCCTACACAAGAGGCAAGGTAAACAGAAGGCATTAACAACACAATAGAGACAAAAGGGGATACACATATTTTTGTCTCAGCATCTACCCCATCATATTAAAACAAACACACACAAGTCTGTATATATAATAGTGAAATTGGAAACCATAAGAAGAATGGGATTCATTTTCAAAAGATACTTTTGGAAGGATACATTTTGGAAGGAGCTTTCAGTTCGGTCTCTAGAAGGTTCAAAATGTTTCTATTTATGTATGCAAAGCCTGTTAGTGAGCGATACAAAGTTTGGTAAAACATGTAACAACGCTCTGTTTTGTTTATGTTTTTGGTGGGGACTTAACTTAATTCTTTCTATGTTATTTCTGCCACTGGTACCAAATTTTCTCTTAAAGAAGTAATGCTAAGGAATATATTAAATTATTTAACAGAGACAGCCATAACACCTTAGAAGTGCAAGCAGCTAATAATTTTGCATATTTCCTTGTAATAAATAGCAATTGTGGCCAGCCCAGGCAGTTTAATTAATAAATAAATAAGGTCAGCATGATTTTATTCCCTGCCTATCAGTCCAGAAGTAATGTCAAACTCTGAGGTTCAGAGTCATACCCAAATGTTTAAAAACCCCAGGACCACAAAAAATGCTTCTGACCAATTTGAGTATTCTGTTTCTCTCTCTGCTAGCAAGTGGATGAAAGCTGAGATCCGAAGTTGGTCTTCCATGTAAGCAGACATTATTTCTACCAACCACTCCCCCAATATCCAGTTTCCAGCACAGTTCCTCGCAGTCCCTCAATCCCAAAATCAATTTTAAGGAGTACAGGGTACTGCAGTATGACTGGAGAAGTTTAAAATCCACATATACACATTTCCTGTTTTTAGAGAGGTAAATCCACTGCAAACTTAGTTATGCTTAAACTCACTGAAATCAGTGGGCTTAAATATGCCTAATTCTGTCTGAATTTAGGACAGAGTGAGAATTTCAGTCATTTGAACAAGACTTCCCCTTTCAAAAGTTTGCTACCAAAGAGCTTTATACATGTTGGATAGCCCTTGCTATGATTTGTGATGCTAATGCCAACTTCTGCTTTTTCCTCCCCTTGTGTTTGATTCCTGGCTGATTAAAGGTCTTGATTTCAGAAGGACTCATGCAGTTTGCTCAAGATCCAAAGTTCATTGAGGTCACAACTCAAGAACTAGCTGATGCCTGTGACTTGACGATAGAAGAAATGGAGAATGCTGCAGACAACATTCTCAATGGTAACAGCAAGCCAAGCCCCAATGGCAATCTCTTGCCTTTTGTTAATTGCAGGGACGCAGGGCAGGACTGTTTGGAAGAGGAAGCAGCCCAAAATCCAGATTGTAGAAGAAGCCAAGAGGAGCCTAAGGACAGCAGGATTTATATCAGCAGCTTGTAGCTGCCCAGGCTGAAAGTGATGCTGGTTTTTTTTAATTTGTTTCAATGTTCCTAATGGGTTTGTTTCAGAAGTGCCTCACTGTTCTCGTGACCTGGAGTAACCAGAACAGCGTTCTTCATTCATTTCTGTCAGGAAGAATCACAGAGTTGGGTGATGTAAAGAGCTTTCCAGGAGTGACTATACAACCCCAGCATGTGTCCATGAAGGAGGAATGAGGAGAAGTAAAAGGAGAAGAGCCAGCTCCCTCCTTTTTTATTCCCTGCACAAGGAACAACAGCTGCTTCCTGAATGTGAAGGAAAACCTCAGCTTCCTGTGGATGGCCCTAGCCAAAAGGACACTGCATCAAACGGGTGTCTTTCAACTTTGCTTGTACAAAAAAAATAATCATTTTGCACATATTCTGTATGAGCCTCGCCGTCTCCATAAAGCCAAGGCCCTTTTGATCTGCAAGTGGAATAGAAGACTTCTGCAACAGATCCCCACATTTGTTGAGGAAACGGAAGCAGAAGTTAAAGGGTATCGGAGATGCAAGTGGCAATACTGCAGATGCTTATTGCTAGAAATACAGAGACTCCCAGGCAGTTTTCTTTGCCAACCAATCAGAGCTCAGGCAGTCTTTTCTGCCAACCAATCAAAGCTCTGACAGCTAGCTGTGCCCACTGCTCAGAGAGCATGAAGCCAGCTCTGTCAAACCGGAGTTCAGGCAACCCACCCATTTCGAAGAGAGGTGGTGATGGGCTTATGTAGATCTCTCCTTGTTTTTGCCGTTTGATATTTTCTTGAAAGCATGTTATAATTTTTATTTTTGAATATTTTATTTTATTCAATTTTAATTTTTGAAGCAGAGGAGTGAAGGGAGTGTTTACAAATTTTTGTAATCACCTACCTTTTTGTTTTTGTTTTTCACTTTGCAAATGTTTAAAATTGTTTTATGTTGTACTATTTAATTTTTTGCTTTCTTCCATTGAGATTTGGTAGAAGCTTAGAGGAGTTTTGCCAACCATTATGTACACCAGAATTTGTAATTTCATTTGAAGTACTGGTAAATTCCTTCTTTTGTTGATGTTTTTATAATTTAAAGATAGTAGGCAATGCACTTGATATAGTCTTGCACATATGAGCGATCCATTTGGATTCTTAGTAGTGTTAGGGTATGTGGGCAAGTGAGCAGGACTGGGTGAATGAATGAGTGATCGAGTGAATGTACACTTAGAAGTATGTATGTTCATACAGTTCTCTGCTTCCTGGTTAAAACCGCAGAAGAGTTGTATTGGGGTCATTTGTGTGCAAAATAAACCACTGTCTCTGCTTTTGAAAGGAGAATCAGTAACTCTTTGCATTTTCTGTTCCACAAGATATGCAAAAACAATGCAATAATTAATTTTGAATACAAGTTGTGAATTGTGCTGGCATTAAAATGATACAAAATAGGGGATTAAAACAAAAAAAACACAAAGAAAACCAACTAAGAAGGAGTTACGTTTCAATATATTCTGTGTGATGTTTTATTGCATTGATAATGTTTCTGTTGAAGAAACCGTAATACTTGAATTCAGGTCAGTTTCAGTATTTTTCAACTATTTTTTTAAAATGAATTGCAATTGTGCCAAGCAAATATAATGAATTAAGTTTGTTTAAGGGAAAAATAACAATTCTTGTATATTTTGCTGCATGTAAAGTAAACCATTTCGTATTTGGAGTGTGCCAAGCTTTACCTTTGAACTTTTAAGTGCTTTTCTACGTGTGGTTTGGGGGAAGGGTATACTTTTTTCATTTTTTTTAGTTTGTACAATGAACAACGTGTACCTGGTGTTAAGTAACTATTCTGCAACCCACTGACAGGTTGAACGTTAACTGATTTTGCATATCTTGTGTTCACTTTCCTTTTTCTGCCCATCCTTAAACGTGCACAATAAGAAATTGGAAAACACATCTTGCTTTCAAAGCTGGCAGGTTTTATCCAGATTCCACCCATTTGCAATTTCTCTCAATATTTTTGTCATTAAAGACTGGCAAATTCCACAAGCCAAGAAAATCAGGTAGATCCATTCCTATAAACTGAACTGGCATCAGCAACTCTACTAAGGAGGAATCTCTCCTTTATTTTATATCACAGAGAAATTTCTAGAATAATGTAGTGAAAATAAATCATGATTTTAAGGGTTAGATAAAGTTTTAGTAACATCTTTATATCAGAAAGAATATACAGTATCCTTTTCCAAATTTGCGTATTTAGAAGGTTAGGAATACTTTAGAGGCTATGCTGGAACATTTTCACATTAGTATAACTAGGAAAAGCTGAGAATACAAATTTTTAACTTAAATTTTAACAACATGTTATCTACATGAAAGAACAAATGCACCAAGTATATGATAGAAAACTCACTAAATAGTAGCATTGTCAATTAGGTCCAAAATATCTGAAGGATCATAGTTTGAGAATCACTGAAGTAAGCAAAGTTCTTTGGAAATACACATTCTTCACGACAGGAAATGTGCAAATACAAATGGTACAACACAGACAATGACAGGAAACCTATTTGAATTACAGGGAAGTGGGGGGAAATCTAATTATGACAGAAATTCCGTTATTCATTTAATAATTATGTAAGGACAGCAAACATCTTTTTCAAACAAAGTGGCAAAGTAATGTTCAGAGAATGATTACATTTCAAAATACCCTACCTTAAGGTAGAGGCTCACTGCCACATGACATATACGTTCCCCTCCCAAATTTTGACAAGTTCACTTTCTATGAATATTCAAGCCATTTACACAGAAGTCTTCTAAATGAATTTAATTCTGCTCCGAAGTATATGGTTTGTGTGTTGTTCTATACAGGTCACCCTCCCCAACAGTTAATGATGCTGTTGGGTGGCTGTTAGTGTTACTATTCAAAATACATAATACATCTGCTCCTTCCCCCTCCCTTAATACATTTTATTTGGGCAGAAAATTGGACTAAACAAACAGCTAGAAATAGAATTTTTGGATCTCTTATAAAATTTTATTAATAAGGTAGGACCATTCCATAGTAAAACCTTACTTGAAAGTACCATAGGTGCCAAAGAATATATTCAAACGTTAAGATAAATTAGAACCCTGATTCAAAGTTTCTGATATCCTTTTTATCAACATTCTACAGTAAATGATTCTGGATATTTAATCAGAAGAACTGCCACAGCAGAACAAACTGAAAATTACTTTGCTATGGTTAAAGACATTCTTACCAACAAGTGAAATCCACACTAGTTGAGAAGCAAGCACTAGTTAATAGATGTAACCCAACACAAGAGTGAAGCATACCTAAACATACTGAAATACTCAGTTGTGTATAGCAAAGCAACCATAGACTTCCTTATAGCTTTTTAAATCATGCTGCCATTCATTCTCTTATAAACACCTTCAACAATAAAACAAAGATTAAGTTCTATTCAGATATCTATTCAGTTTTTCAAGCAAAAAAAGACTTTAAAAAGAAGCTTAAACTGGTATTAATATAATTTAAAACAATATAAATTGATAACAAACACGGTTAAAATATCTATTTTTAAAAAGAGTCAAATAAAGTAAGAGTTCACAATACATTTTACGCACATCTATTCAACAATGAGTTCCACTCTGTTCAATAAGGTTTACTCCCCAGCAAATAGGTATAGAATTGTAGTTGAAAATATCTTCCAAATAAAGAATGCCTTTAAATTAAGCATATAAATTACTGAAAATCACTATATACAGAAACTACAATTCCTTGAATCATTTGTTTTCTTCTCAACTTCTCAAATAGTAGTATTAAACTCTTTGATCACTACACACTTGTTCAGGAGTAGACAGATAAGTCTGCCTTCTCAGATATGGACATGCTCCTTTTCCAACTCATTCTAGCAAGGAACTGCCAGGGCATATGATAAAGGTTGTAAGACACTACAAACTAATTTCTAGTAGAGTTTTATTCCCATTATCTATGTAACCATATCCCAAGCAATTAAAGTGAAAACAACATATACCATACTTCAGTAGATTCCAATTCATTTTTAATAAACAACTCTTTTTGCATCCTTATAGCTTTTTAAATCATGCTGCCATTCATTCTCTTATAAACACCTTCAACAATAAAACAAAGAATATTTTTGTAAGAATACAATCATCTATGATAAATATCTTACTTGAAGATGGCTATTCATAATTGATTCTTCATGCCTATTCTCATACTATACAGTAGATACTCAAAACACAATCTCGCCATCAATCAGTAATTATGTTGCCTCTATGATAATCATAATTTGTCTGGAAATAATTTGTGTTTTCTTGCTAGGCTTGTGCTTGAGAAATCCCTTGAATACCTATATGGAACTACTGCTTCTATTAACACACACACACATATAATATACTTTCATTCAGATTACATTAATCCAAGACCATAGACAAGGTCTTACCGTACACATAATCATTATGATAGATTCCAGAAGTCATCACTAAGGCTGTAATCCTATGTCCTCTTAAATAGAAGTAAATCCATTAAACAAAATGAGATTAATGACTGGACAGAATGACACTATTCAAAGCTGTAATTCATAATTTGTGAATTACATAAGTAAACTATGTATAACACCTGAAATACAACAGAGATATCTTCCATTTAGCCTGTCATTACATAAAATAAAATTCTAATATTATACTAATATTATTCTGGGCGCCTCAGCAAAGAAAGTTGTTCCCACACCACAAAGGAATTGTTTGAACCCCAGGAACACACATGGAGCAGGGGTCAATAGTACAGTTATTCTAATGTTAACATAATCTTATCTTTAAGGGGAGGTGCTCTTATAGGAAGGTACATTATGGACTCCTCCCACATTTACTGATATTGTGCAAAAAGTACTGAAAACAGCTAATCAGTTTTAATACAACTTTCAGTAAAATCAGAATGGGACCAAGGTTTTACAGTGAAGTTGAATCAAACATTCAACTATGAATAATAGACATTTAATAAGCAAATAAAAAGAAATTGTGATATAAACTAGCCCCAAAGTGATCGAACATCTTCATTCCAAACACAATATCAAGACTATTGCCAGTACTACACTGCCAAGAACAATCAGAAATCCCGACTTTTATATGTTTCCATATGGAAGTTTAAATTCACAAGTGGAATATTACCAGTGTTCACTGGTTGCATATGGTGCTATATCCTTATCTCTTCCGGTATTTATTTTATTATTTAAATATTTATATTGAACCCACCTCACGGTGTGGACCCAATAAATTTTTTAAAATTAAATTTTAAAAAGGCATATTTTAGATAATTCAACTCAGTTTCAGATGAACTTAAACAGTTTTAAAGTGGTAAATGAGCATCTTAGGGGTTTGGACTAGATGGCCCACAAAGTCTCTTCCAACTCTATGATTCTATGATTCTGCCAGAGAAATTATCTTTCATCCACCCCAGTCATCCTTAATACCCCACTACTTAATTATGTATAAAAATTAAATTCTAACGTAACATCTAGTATCATCTGACACAAACATTTATGTAATCTAATGCATAAACGTTTGTGGACCTTCGCCAGATTCGATAGGCCCACAGAATTAAATTGCAACTTTGCTGAATTACACAAAGATGTGGAGAGCATGCACAGTGATGGAATAATGAATTTTATACATTGCCAAATCAATGAGCATAGCCTCAAAGTGGTGGTGAATAAGATATTAATTTCACACACTGTCTGATAAAAAAATGGTGTCCACATGAGAACTATGCATATTGATCAGGTAACACATGATCTAACTTGTTTACCTTTTCAATTCCTGCATATTTATTATCACTAGGAGACTATGCAGATTCAACAGGAAATATACAAAAACATTGTTTCTTTACACTGTGTATTTATGCACAATATCTGTGCCTTCCTGTGAACAATTGCCTGTTCATGTAAATTCTTCATTCAGTTCTCATTAACTACAATATATACTCACCTAAAAGGAGTTAAGGCTTTGTTTTCTCTTTAGCAGTGGTGCTATAATTTCTGTCAAAACAAGTATTCACAAAATGGGCAGCCTATAGTCATAGATTAATGAACATATTTATATAAAATGTGGAACATCTTTTGTGCTTATTAGACCAGATAAAATAATTCTTAACAGCTTTGGAAAACATTAAATTTCTGTAGAGTAGCTTCTTTTGCCACCACTACACATGTTGGGGTACCAATTCCATCTTTGTTTAAATAAAGAAGCTTCAGACTCAATTTCAAGTACCAAATGAAAGGAAGCCCCATTAACAAACACATAACATTTCATTTCTATAGTATTTCATTCTACAT